AGGATGAAGAAAAGGCCTTAATATTGTTGAATTCCTTGGCGGACTCTTATGAGCATTTTGTTACCACTATTATGCATGGTAAAGAAACTATGAAATTTGAAGATGTGTCAAATGCCTTGATGAATTATGAAATGAGGCATAGAGATAAAAATCATGATAGTACCTCTGAAGCTTTATTTGTTAGAGATAGATCATCGAAGAGGAGATCCTCTTCTAGTAGGAAAAAATCACACTCTCGACCTAGAGGAAACTCTAAAGGTGGAAAAACCTTGGAAAGGGATGAATGTGCCTTTTGTCATAATAAGGGCCATTGGAAGAAAGATTGTCCTAGGTTGAAGACCAAAGGCAAAGAAAGTTTTGAAGCTAATGTTGCTGAGGTTGAAACAGACTTTTCTGATTTTGCTTTAATCACTTCCTCATCATTTGATTGTGCTACTAAGTGGGTGTTGGATACGAGTTGTACTCATCATATGACTCCTCACAAGGATTGGTTTTCAAGCTTGAAAGAGTTTGATGGTGGTGTTGTGTTCATGGGAGATGACAATCCTTGCACAACAAAAGGGATTGGTACAGTTCGTTTGAAGTTACATGATGGCATGGTTAAAGAGTTGACAGGTGTTCGGTATGTATCGAATTTGAAGAAAAATCTTATTTCTTTGGGAACTTTAGAAGCCAAGGGCTTCAGGTTTCATTCAAATGGGCAGACATTGAAAGTTACTTATGGTGTACTTGTTGTGATGAAAGCTCCTCGATGTGGTCATTTGTATCTATTGCAAGGAAGCACCGTGACAAGTGAAGCGTCTGTAGTCTCAGAAAATATGGGCACATCTGATTCAGATACTACTAGATTGTGGCATATAAGATTAGGCCATGCCGGTGAGAAAGCTTTACAAGGGCTTGTGAAAAAAAGTCTTCTAAAAGGTGCCACGACTTGTAAGCTTGATTTCTGCAAGCATTGTGTCTTGGGAAAGCAAACTAGAGTGAAGTTTGGTACTGCAGTACATCAGACGAAGGGCATTCTTGATTATGTGCATTTGGATGTTTGGGGTCCTACAAAGACTCCCTCTTTGAGTGGTAGACATTGGTTCGTAACCTTCGTTAATGATTATTCAAGAAGGTCTTGGGTCTACACTATGAAGCACAAGAGTGAGATATTAAGCATTTTCTTGAGTTGGAAGAAAATGGTTGAGAACCAGACTGGGAGAAAGATTAAGATTTTGAGATTGGATAATGGTGGTAAATACACATCCGACCCTTTCTTTAAAGTTTGCAAAGAGGAAAGGATTGTGAGACATTTCAGTGTTCGGGGAACTCCACAACAAAATGGAGTTGCAGAAAAATTGAATCGAACCTTGCTTGAGAAGGTTAGATGTATGTTGTCTTAGTCGGGTTTGAGCAAGTCATTTTGGGTAGAGGCAGTTACTTATGCATGTCACATCATCAACCGGTTACCCTCAGCTGCTATTTAGGGTAAGAAACCAATGAAGGTATGGACTGGAAAACCTTCCACTTATTATGATTATATTCATATTTTTGGTTCACCTGCTTATTTTCATGTAACTGAAAATAAACTTGATCCTAGAGCCAAAAAGGCTATCTTTCTTGGTTTTAGTAGTGGTGTCAAAGGTTACCGGTTGTGGTGCCCAGAAATGAAGAAACTTGTAATCAGTAAAGATGTGACATTTGATGAAGAAAGTATGTACAAAGACTTTGAGAAGAATGTGAAAGATGTCCAACAGGTGGAGCTTGAGAAAGTTGCCTCTGGTACTTCAAATCCTATTTCCACTGATGTCGAAGTCACTACAAGTGAAGAAGTTGGAGACCATGAGGATGTTGAAGAAGTTGAACTTGAAGAGCAAGTTTCACCTCAAGAGTCTATTGCCAAGAACAGAGGAAAGAGACAAATTACCAAGCCGGCTTGGTATAGTGACTATGTTGCTTTTGCTTTTCCTATTATCATTCATGATATTCCATCCAATTTCGAGGAAGCCATTGAGAGTGAGGAGAAGGAGAGGTGGTGCAATGCCATGGGTGATGAGATGAATTCTCTCTTGAAAAACAAGGCTTGGGAGTTATCTAAATTGCCTAAGGGCAAGAAAGCTATCGGTTGCAAATGGGTGTATACCAAGAAGGAAGATGCTGATGAGAAAAGCAATGTGAGATTCAAAGCAAGATTAGTTGCTAAAGGGTATGCACAAAAGGAGGGCATTGACTACAATGAAATCTTTTCTCTGATTGTGAAGCACTCCTCAATTCGCATTATGTTAGCTCTTGTTGTACAGTATGATCTTGAGCTTATGCAACTTGATGTGAAGACGGCTTTCCTACACGGTGATTTGAATGAAGAGATCTATATGTGTCAACCGGATGGGTATACAGTGAAAGGGAAGGAGAATTTGTTTTGCAAATTGAAGAAATCACTTTATGGTTTGAAGCAATCTCCAAGGCAATGGTATTTGAGGTTTGATAAATTTATGAGAGGCCAAAATTATTCTAGAAGTCAATATGATCATTGTGTGTACTTCAAGAAGTTGTAAGATGGGTCCTTCATTTATTTTTTGATATATGTTGATGATATGTTGATTGCCTTAAAGAATGTTGAAGAGATTGAGAAATTCAAGAAGGAAATGAAGAATGAGTTTGAGATGAAGGATCTTGGTGAAGCGAAGAAGATCCTGGGCATGGAGATCACTAGAGATAGAGCGATGGGTTTGGTCAGTTTGAATCAAAGAAAATACCTTGAGAAGTTGATTCGGAAGTTTGGAGTTCATGATTCAACCAACCGGTTAGTACCCCTTTGCCTCCTCATTTTAAATTGAGTTCTCTACAATGTCCTAAAACTGATAAAGAGAAACAGCAAATGAAAAATATACCATATGCAAATTTGGTTGGTAGTTTGATGTATGCAATGGTATGCTCTAGACTGGATATTGCTCATGCAGTTGGCATGGTGAGTCGATATATGCATAATCCAGGTAAAGAGCATTGGCAAGCAGCTAAGTGGATATTGAGGTATCTCCATGGTACTCGAGACGTTGGTTTATGCTTTGAGGGAGATGACTCTGGTATTGGTCATTTTGCAGTTGGTTATGTTGATTCAGATTCTGCAAGTGACCTGGATGGAAGGAAGTCTACTACAGGCTATGTGTTTACTATGGCTAAGGGGCCAGTTTGTTGGAGGTCCATTTTGCAGTCGTCTATTGCCTTGTCTACTACAGAGGCTGAATATATGACAGTTGCTGAAGCTATAAAAGAGGCCATTTGGATACATGGGCTGATTAGAGATTTGGGGGTTGATCAGAAGTAGGTGGAGGTACATTGTGATAGTTAGAGTGCTATTTATTTGGCTAAGTATCAGGTTCATCATGCGAGGACCAAGCACATAGATGTGCGTTATCACTTTGTTCATGAAATTGTTGGTGAAGGGGAAATCATTCTCCAGAAAATTCCAACTAAAGACAACCCCGCTGATATGTTGACTAAGATTTTTGGTGTAGCTAAGTTTGTTCATTGCTTAAACTTGGCTCACATTTTGCCTATATAAAGAAGGCATTGAGCAGTAGGAGTTTTGGAGAATTTGACTTGGCATGAGTTGTTCTCTTACTAGTGTTTGGGAGTAATTTTTGTGTTGATTGTGTTGGTTGGCTTATCATGGCATTTTCGAAACTTGGCCAAGGTGGAGATTGTTGAATTAGTGGCCAAGTGGCCAACTTTTGGCTAAATAAAATAAACAAAAGGAGGTAGACAACATCATTATGTTTGTTGAAAAGAAAAAAAGGTTATGATGATGTTTGTAGAAAAAGAGGTAAAGGCTAGCAAGTAGCCTTATTATTGGTTTTGTTATTGGGTGTTTTATGATGGATGAATGTGAGCATACGGAAGTGAGAGAGGTAGAGTACACCATTCTCTGATTTAGAAGCCCATCTTTGAGAAAGCAAAGGCAGCTGCAGAAAACAACAAACTGAGAGCAGAAAAAGAAGAAGAAGGTGCTCTTCTCTTTGGTTAGTAATCACTCACCAAGGTAGTTGTTGTTGTAATAGCTTTGAGCTTTATATAGAGAAGAAATTATTCACAATATTTCTTTCTCTATTTGTTTCTTTGGTGTGTGAGAGCTATTGGTTGTATTCGGGTTTTTGGGTTGTGAGCTTGCCAACACTTTGTAAACTCCCATTTGGTTGATAGTGGATTATTGGGTGAGCTCCTACTGCTCCAAGGACGTACTCCAGTTACACTGACTGTTAAGAAACCTCGTTAAAATCTTGGTGTTCTTTTATATTTTGTTCTTGCATTCCATTTGATATATTTCCTGTGGGTTAGCTTAAGTTGGTTCCAACGGGTTTAGTGCTATCCTAGCACAACAACATATATTATATTAAAAAAAAAAGATTATTAATCAATAATCACCCTGAGCACACACAAATATTACAAATATATACACACACACACACACACACACACACATATATATATACATATATTATATATTATATATACATATATTATATTATATATATATATATATATATATATAATAGAGGATGAAAAGCACAATGAGCACACATATAACAATGCACGCAGACAGCACACACATCTATTATATATAAAAAAAAAATCAGAAAAAAGGCAGAGAGACGATATTGCAAGGAAGATGTATGAGGCAGTTAAAACCCAACCCAAAATTTGGGTTTGGGAGTGAAAAAAAAATAAAAAATTCCCCTGAGGCACGCCTAGGTAGCTCTGGAGGCGCCTTCCGCCGCCTAGCCGGCGACGCCTTCCACCGCCTTCCGTCCACTCCAGCAAAACAGAGGCGTTAGCCTTTGCGCCCAACCTCAAAGGTGCCCTAGGCGAGCCCCAAGGCTAGTTTTTTAAAACATTGATCTCCCTAAATTCAAATACAAGAAAATGGACTACCATTCAACTTAAACCACATGTATGTTGAACAGTAGCTCACTACTAGCACTGTTAACACGCTGCACCGCGATGCAAACACACAATCCAAAATGGATACCACAACAGTAGCTACTAAGCCTCACGCTGTTTGCATTCCAGTTCCGACTCAAAGCCATATCAAGGCAACACTTAAATTTGCAAAACTCCTACACAGTAGAGGTTTTCATATTACCTTTGTCAACACGGAGTTCAATCACAAGTGGTTTCTTAAATCTCTAGGAGCCGATTCCCTAGATGGCTTGCCTGATTTCCGGTTCGAAGCCATCCCAGATGGCATTCCAGATTCAGATGAAGATGCCACCCAAAATCTCACTTTACTCTGCGATTCCATATTAAAACATACTTTCCTGGCGCTGTTTCGTGACCTCCTCACTAAGTTCAACAATGATGCCTAAACAACATCCAACAATCCACCAGTGACTTGCACAGTTTCAGATGGTTTCATGTCCCCAGTCACAATCACTGCTGCTCAAGATATTGGAGTCCCTTCGGTTCAGTTCTACACTATTGCTGCATGTGCCTTCATGGGCTTTATACAATTTCGTGCTTTGGTTGAAAAAGGACTTGCACCACTCAAAGGTGAAATATATACAACTATTGAAGCAACTGCTTAATTTTTGGTTAATTCTTTATTTCTTATTTTCTAAACATGCAAATGAAAATTTTCGTGTTGTAGATGAGATCTGTTTGACATCCTATTTAACTTCACGATGAAAGCAACGGATATACCAACTTTTTTTTGAACCACAAATCCGGATGACATCCTATTTGACTTCACGATGAAAGCAACGGATAGAGCTCATGAAGCTTCAGCAATTGTTCTTCATACTTTTGATGCCTTGGAGACAGATGTGTTGGATGCTCTCTCATCTATGCTTCCACTTGTTTATCCCATTGGCCCTCTTCAATTACAGCTCAACCAGATACCAGAACACCCCTTGAATACTGGATACAGTCTATGGAAAGAAGAAACTGAATGCCTTGAGTGGCTAAACGCTAAGGCGCCAGATTCTGTCATGTATGTGAATTTTGGTAGTATAGCAGTCATGACACCTGAAAATCTTGTCGAGTTTGGTTGGGGACTTGCAAAAAGAAAATTGCCCTTCTTTTGGGTAATCAGGCCTGATCTTGTAATTGGTGAATCCACAATTTTTCCACCTGAGTTTGTTGCCGAAACAAAAGAAAGAAGTCTCATAGCAAGTTGGTGCCCACAAGAGCAAGTCCTGAACCACCCATCAGTAGGAGGATTTTTAACTCACAGCGGTTGCGGTTCAACAATTGAGAGCCTAACTGCAGGAGTGCCTATGCTCTGTTGGCCATCCTTCGGGGACCAGCAAATGGACTGCCACTATACTTGCAATGAATAGGGCATTGGGATGGAGATGAGTAATGATGTGAAGATGCATGAAGTAGAGAAGCTTGTCAACGAGTTAATGGAGGGAGAGAAGCGTAAGAAGTTGAAAAATAAGGTCATGGAGTGGAAGAAACTTGCAGAAGAAGCTACTGGGCCGAATGGTTCTTCATCCAAAAACTTAGACAATTTAGTGAATCAAGTTCTACTAAGAAAGAACTAGATGTCAGTATGTAATTTAGAACTACCAACTATTCCCCGAGTTCAAAACTCCCTGTCTCTTCCGTTAGTGTTGATTAGTATAAAAGATCATTTATAATAAAAATAAAAATAAACCTAGATGTCGATACGTGATTTAGAACTATCTCAAAATTACCATATTATTATTGTTCTAAGTTTTAGAACTATCTGAGTATGAGGCATTCTCAGCATCATATAATAAATGGTAGACCAACCTCAACCCTTTGAATGTTTGGTAGTGTGGTTGTGCATGATGACCAATATAATATGTTACCCCACATATTCATTGCAGCTGCATGATTGAAAAAAACGGAAACGTAAACAAAACTTTTATATGGAAACTTTGGAATAAATCTCCAGCAATACCAATAACAATACCAGACCTAGTGAATATAACCAAATACAAATTAAGATGGTAAACGAATATTTGAGTTATCATCGGAAAAGCCCATTTACACTGATAGTAGTCACATAAATGGCACACTCGATCCATAAAATTGACTTGATTTGAACTAATTATAGAGTTTAATTTAGATTAGTTTAGCTTGGCGTTGATTTTGTTCTATTTAGGCCCCTCTTTAAATGGTTTAGAATAAGCTCACATAAAAAAGTATAATCTGAAATTATTCAGTTGTTACTTAACCTCATGTTTAATTCAAATTGGAATTGATGTTAAATAGCCAAATCCAATCCTACTTTGGCCAATAAAAGCCCCAAAAGAACTTTCTTCAAAACTGTCTTTTCCTTCTGTATTCCTTATCTTACATAGTTATGTGTCTTCTGTCACTGCAGCAATCTTCTTTGACCTACAAAAAAAATCCACAGGGTAATCAATGAAAACTTCAATACAAGACAATTGACTAATTATTTAATTTGGATCACTCATTCAAGATTCTTCAAACAAGATTATTTCACTGCCTGAACTTGTGTGAAGATAAGAATAGGAATGAATGTATGTGAAGAAGTGTCCCCTATCGGAATTTCAACAAATCTTGTATATGCTTCATGGAATCAGAGCAAGTTGGCTCACATGTAAAGTCCAACGGCCATACGTATTTCGTGTCACTCAGTTATCTACGTATTGGGTTTGAAGATTATCCACCCATAAGGTAACGTGTGAGAAAACGAAGAAATATCCCACATTGGAAAGTTACCAAACCATGCATGTACTCATAAAAATTTTTATTGCGAAACCTTAGCCTCCTCACACAAACATAATGAATAGTGCTCACTAGTCTACAAATATCAATAGTGTGCATTCTGCAAACACTGCAACTCTGCACCACAAAAAAAAAAAGGCATACAGAAAATAGAGGATGTATACCAAAGAAGTACCTAAAAAGCCTCATGCTGTTTGTATTCCAGTTCCAGCTCAAGGCCATATCAAGGCCATGCTTAAATTCTCAAAGCTCCTCCACCACAGAGGTTTTCATATCACCTTTGTCAACACAGTGTTCATCCACAAGCGCTTTCTTAGATCTATTGGCCCCAACTCCCTTGACGGCTTGCCTGATTTTCGGTTTGAAGCCATCCCAGATGGCCTTCCTGATTCAGATGAAGATAGCACCCAAGATGTCACCTTGCTCGCTGACTCTGTCAGAAAACAGAATTTCTTGGCTCCCTTTCGTGCCCTCCTCAAAAAACTCGACAATGATGCCATATCAACAACCAACAATCCTCCAGTGACTTGCATAATTTCAGATGGTTCCATGTCCATATTCACAATAACAGCTGCTGAAGAAATTGGAGTCCCTATAGTACTGTTTTACACTATTGCTGCATGCAGCTTCATGGGCTGTTTACAATTTCGTTCTTTGGTCGAAAAAGGACTTGTACCACTCAAAGGTTAAATATTTACAACTATTGGACAAACTGATATTTACGATTAACACTTTTAATTGCTTATGTGTATAAAAAATTTCGTGTTGTAGATGAGAGTTGTTTGACAAATGGCTATTTGGACAAGGTTATCGATTGGATTCCAGGAGTGAAGGATATCCGTTTGAAGGATCTCCCAACCTTCCTTCGAACCACAAATCCTGAGGACATATTTTTCAACTTCGTGATGGAATCAACAGATAGAGCGCATGAAGCTTCAGCAGTTATTCTTCATACTTTTGATGCCTTGGAGCGAGATGTTTTGGATGCTCTCTCATCTATGCTTCCACGGGTTTATACCATTGGCCCTCTTCAATTACATCTCAATCAGATACCTGAACACCACTTGAATATTGGATACAGTCTATGGAAAGAAGATACTGAATGCCTCGAGTGGCTAAACAGTAAGGCGCCAAATTCAGTTGTGTATGTGAATTTTGGCAGTATAGCGGTCATGACACCTGAACATCTAGTCGAGTTTGCATGGGGACTAGCAAACAGCAAGCTGCCTTTCTTCTGGGTAATTAGACCCGATTTGGTGATTGGTGAATCAGCGATTTTGCCACCTGCGTATGTGGCTGAAACAAAACAAAGAAGTTTAATAGCAAATTGGTGCCCACAAGAGCTTGTCCTTAACCATCCATCAGTTGGAGGATTTTTAACACACAGCGGTTGGAATTCAACTATTGAGAGCCTGACTGCAGGAGTGCCTATGCTCTGTTGGCCATTCTTTGCCGACCAGCAAATGGACTGCCGCTATACTTGCAAGGAATGGGGCATTGGCTTGGAAATCAATAATGATGTGAAGAGGGACGAAGTAGAGAGGCTTGTTATAGAGTTAGTGGAGGGGGAGAAGGCTAAGAAGATGAAAAATAAGGTGATGGAGTGGAAGAAACTTGCAGAAGAAGCTACTAGTCCTCACGGTTCTTCATCCAAGAACTTCGACAATTTAGTGAATTGTGTGCTATTAAGGAAAAGCTAGATATCACCTTTAACAATATTGTTATTGATGATTTTTGTAATTTTGTTCGTGCTTCTTAAGGTTTTTTTTTTTTAATTGTTGGCCGTAGCCTCAAATGATAATCATCTGGCTAGGAAGATGTGAGAAATTGCATGTACTGCATTCCTAGATGTTTTTTGGTTCAATAAACTAGTAATATGTGTAGCGTGCGACCACCATCTTGAATTTTGTTTTGCTATAAGTGTGATTAATTGATCTTAATTTTCCAATATCTAACAATAATTAAATTCTTTAGATTAAAAATATTGAAGTTTTGCTACAAACTTTATATATATATATATATATATATATATATATAAACCAACAATTTCAACACCAATAGAAGAATAAATGCATAAAACCAACGAAAATTGAGTTGGTAACGACATAATTTAGTAAAAAAATAATAATAATAAGAGAAGTGGTAACACAAAATGATAAAAGTGAAGAATCCATATAACTCATATATTTGAGGGCTTGTTAGGATCCAAATCTATATAACTCAAATAATGTCGCGTACCGGCAAGTGGCTTATAGCTTGTAGCTTGGCTAAGAACATTAGTCAATGGTGCCATGCATTAATTGTCATGGCATAGTTCAAAAATTATAGTTAAGTCTCAAATTAAAGTGTGAATGACATCAAACAAATAGAATATAACATTTTCATAATTAAAGATGTGACAAACTAGAGGTAGAAGAAACTAGAAGATGAAGCAAACTAGTAGTAGAAGAAACTAAAAAACAATAAAATTTAGAAGAACGAAAAATAATAAAAAGCCAAGAAACCATGGAAACAGGCCATACTTAGAAAAGGGTTTTTGGCTAGGAGAAAAAATAAAATAGGGAGTTTTAACGAAAAGCCCACGGTACTGTTCACTTTAACGAAAAACCACATTTTTACACTAAAAATTAAAACTCAAAGTTTTCAAGCTCTTTTCATTAGTTTTCCTAATAAAATAACCTGCACTGTAGCTGGGATTTAGCTCACCTTTGTTCCTCAGGAGAGCAGTACTTGAAGAACTAATCCACATATTACCCATGAAAAAAGAGATGATTAAAGAATATTTGAAAAATGGGAGCTGATTTTTCACACCCTATTTTTAACTTCTCATGCACCCCTCCGTATTTCTGGTCATCAGATTGTATAATGAAAATAGAAACAACGAATAAGATTAAACAATAATATGTGTTGAAAGCATTTCCCTTTAGCTATAGAGTAAATTGTATCAATTGTCCCTTAACTTTAATCAAATTGGAACAATGGTCCCTCAACTAAAAATTCATTACCATTGGTCCGTCAATTTATCAAAATGTTTAGCTATAGTCATTTTCATCAATTTCGTCAAAATTTTGTCAAAATAAGTTATGTAGTAATAACCATTTATATAATTAGGGTCCCTCAACTCATCAAAGTGTGTAATTATGGTCATTTTCGTCAACTACGTCAAAATTTTTGTCAAAACGAGTTATGTTGGAAGGACCATTGCTACAATTGGGTTAAAGTTAATGGATCATTTCTCCAGTTGAATTAAAGTTAAGGGACCAATGGTAATTGATTTTTAGTTGAGAGACTATAGCTGCACATTTTGATGAGTTGAGGGACCAATAGTAATGGATTTTTAGTTGAGGGACCATTACTCCAATTGAGTTAAAGTTAAGAAACCATAGGTACAATTTACTCTTAGCTATATTAAAAAACCAAAAAGTGATTCTGTAATGCGAAATGACGCAAGAACTGAAGGTCCACTAAGTCCAGTTCCACTAATTGCCAGTCGGCTTTGATTTTAGAGGTAAATCACTAACCAAATTATCTTAAAGCATTTTCCCTACAGATTCTTAACCCTTACATTATTGTACATATTTCTCCTTTTCTTGGAGAAAAGTCGAGAACTCGTGATCAAGTAGCTGTCTTGCTGGCTTCTATTTTTCAGTATTGCCTACTTTCTTTCACATCTCCCTGAATTTACTTGATCTCTCTAAATTCAAATACAAGAAAATGGATTACCTTAAACCACATATATGTTGAAAAGTAGCTCACTACTAGCACTATAAACAATATGTGAAAGCACTGAAGAAAGATGAGATTTCACCATAAAATCAATTGGTAATGTTGATGCACAAAATCAGTGAGGACTTTGGTACAACAGAAAGTATCAAGGTTGTGACCTTCGCTAGATTGCTCCGGTCACTAGTGTGGATAAGTATGTAAATGGACAGAGGCAGGGAAGCAAACACAAGATGTACGTGGTTCACACAGATTGGCTACGTCCACGGAGTAGAGGAGTTCTCATTAATTATGAAGGGTTTACACAAGTGCATAGGTTCAAACTCTACTTTAGTGATTTCTAGTAAATGATTTAGTATAAATGACATTAGGAAATATTGTGAGAGAATGATCTCCTTTTATAGAAGAGAGTCTTTAGCCTTGTTCTGACTTTGACACGTGTCGTGCTGTGATTGGCCTCTGATGTTGACACATGTCGCGCTATGATTGGCCTTTGATGTCGACACGTGTCGCGCTGTGATTGGCCTCCTGGTTAGAGGGAAACTCTTATGGATCCTTGACAGTATAACGTTAACTGGTGCTCAGTAGTTTCAGGATTGGTCAAGTATGGTACAAACAGTGCTCCCCTAAGTTTCCGAGTGAGGGAAGCTCCTCGGTTGGGGACTTACAAGATCCAAGCCATTGAGTAATCACAAAACTCTAAGTACCGAAGTGTGGTATCATTTTCACTTGCCTTATCTGTCTCATAGGTAGATGTGGCATCTTTTCTTGAAGTATTTTTCCTGCATCCAAGGGTGCTATCTCTAACCGGTGGAGATGCACAAGGTAATGTATTAATTTCACTTGAAGCTTACTTGTAGTTTCGGGCTTGGTTAAGCGCGATACAAACCCTATAGTAGGAGTCCCCTAAGTCTCTGAGTGAGGAGATCTGCCAAATGAGGTGATAGACAACGTAAGCAATCAGAGTTCCAAGCAATCAGTTTTAGATCAGAAGTTTGATCTCCGGTTTTGGCTGATTGTTCTTCTTCTCCTTGTCTTGCAGACCGCAACAAGGATAAAGAAAAGGACATGGAGAAGATATGATATGAGATACTCTTGCTTTTGAAGAAGTAATAGATGAATCGGCACTTCTTCTATTGCACTTGTCTCCACATGCTTCTTTGTATCCTTTTCACTTGCCCTATCTGTTTTTCAGGCAGATGTGGTATCTTCTCTGGAAGCACAAGATGTTGAAGATGAGTACTCAAGAGCAATGCTAGGTAAGCAACTAGGCAAGGGGTTCCTGACTGGAAGCTTGATTCCAAATGTTGGCTGATTGCTCTCTTTCTCTTTGTCTTGCAGGTAAGAACAAGGGCAGAGGAAAAAATAGGGAAAAAACATGATATGAGATACTGTTGCTTTTGAAGAAGTAACTTTCCACAAGCTTATTCTTGAACTGAGCTAGAGGGTTTTCTGGTTTCCTCCAGAGTATAAGGCAGACTCAAGAATTTGAGGGTCAAAACAAGTCCATCAAATCTAGAGTACGTTCGACCCTGATGATATGGGATACTTTTACTGTCGACAAAGTAGCGAATGTGGTATGTCAAGGTTTTGCTCTTTGGCGACGGTGCTAGCAAAAGGTTGTTGAAGCATCTCGAGCTTTTCGGATAGGGCAGCGATGCCGGGCTTGAATTTGATTTAGACTCCTCTGTCTGGGTTGTGCGGTTCTGCAGGAAGGGCATCGTGCTGTAGTGATCTGTTCCAGCTCATCGTTGAACCTTCTGCTTCAATCTTTTGCATCGCAGAAGTGGTGCTCAACCTTTGCATTTAAATGGTCCTTCAGAGCACTACCCCTCATCGACTCATCCATGTGTGGCAACTTCAGTGTAAAGCGTCAATATCGTATCAACTGTTCTGAGGTATTTGTCGAAGGACTTCGTGACCTTGACAACAGTTGAGGATGAGTACTCAAGAGCAATGTTAAGCAAGCAACCATGCAAAGATTCCAGGCAATCAGTTCCAGATCAGAAGTTTGATTTCAAGTTTCTCCTTGTCCTGCAGGTAAGAGCAAAGTCAAAGGAAAAGACAGGGAAAAAGCATGATATGGGATACTCTTGCTTTTAACCTTGATGATATGAGATACTCTTGCTCTGGTGTGGCTTGTTTGCAGAGGTATTATCGAGGGGAAAAAAAGCTGAGTATTTCGAGAGACTTTGCTGGGAGTGCCCTCTCGGATGTGAAGAAAAGTTGAGTATTTTTTTTTATTTGCAAGCCTGCCTGGCCGTGGAGGATGGAGGTCGACATATATAGGAATTGTCCCAACAGCGAATAGTAATGTTATTCCTTTACCCTTCTCGGTCATAGCAATGTAGTGGGAGTTGCAAGATTCAAGTGTTTTAACTTTGTCAGAGCACTTTGAAAAAATGGTCTGTGGTATCTGGAAAGTTGATGTTGCATGTGAAAATTGCAGACAAATTTTATCCAAGGAAATCTTGCTCTCGAAGTTCGGAGAGTGGTGCCTTTTTGATTTTCGAATAAGCAATCCTGTTGAGGATCTGGCTCTCGAAATTCGGAGAGCGGTGCCTTTTTGATTTTTAAGCAAGCAATCCTGTTGGGGATTTAGCTTTCGGGATTCGGAGAGCGTTGCCTCTTCGATTTTTGAACAAGCAACCTTATTGGGGATTTTTTAGAAAGTAATCCTCTTGGGAGTGTTTTCTCGAATGTGAGTAAATGTTGGGCATTTTTGTCAGTCTGCCTTGCCACGAAGTACGGAGGTTGTCACACATACGGACTTTTCAGTTATCAAGCAATGGTGTTGTTCATTTACCTTGTGGGTAATAATATGGTAGCTGGACCTTCAAATTTTATGTGTCTAAACTTTGTCAGAGATCTTTGGCAAAGTTATCTGTGGTACCCGAGAAGCTGATGTTGTGTGTGGAGATTGTCGACAGATTTTTCTCAGGAAAATCCGCTTCTCGAAATCCGAAGAGTGGTGTCTCTTCGATTTTTGAACAAACGGCCTTGTTGCCCTTTCTTTTATAGGGGCACCAATTGTGTGCAAGAAGTACATTCAGAGAGTTATTGCTTGTATGAATTTTCCCCTTATTTTTGTACTTCAGAGATTTATTGGACTTATTTTTCCTTTATCGTTTATGAAAATGTCTAGCCCATCTGACCGTCGTTTTGACTTGAACT